AGAGTTCAAAGAGATCCTGCACATCCTCAGGAAATGTCTGAAGATCAGGTCGCGCAGGGTAAAATGCTGGTGCGTCAACATTGAAGCTAAAGACTTCACATGCATCTCCCTCTGCTGGGAGCGTGACCGCATCATGAGGTGACATCATGGATCTTTGATGTGCTTGAGCTTCAAGTTGGCCATGTTGCATGAATGAGGTCTCATCTGAATGCGGGGAAGGTCTGCTTGCGATCGTGACTACAACACTTTCACCGGCTTCCAGTTGTACTGGTGCGTCGCCGTGGACTGTGCGGCCGTCACATTGTAGAATACAATCTCGTGATACACACCAGCGAGTAATGCCCAGCTCTTCGAAGACATCTCTGCTCGTAATGAAAGGCGTCATCAGGCCTGCAAAATGCCACAATCTGCGCGCAGTAGGATGATCAAAAACCCCAGTCATGAGTATTGGCACCAACTCACTGTGACCTTGTTCCAGAATAAGGTGTCCAACCGACGCTTGTCTATCATCATCTGGCGGCGCCGGATGTACGTGATGAACTTGGCCTGGAAGCGTAGGATCCATGACATCAGCCCAAAGATCACACAAACCCTGGTACCAGAGGTGTTGCATGGTATCCAACCGTAGGATCCTTGACTCTGAGTTCCTTGTGTACCTACGGTGATGTAGGTACCAAGTTGTCCAATAAATGACTGGTCCTTCATCCTGATGCTCTGTGGTCGCACATTGCATGAATGTCATGCTGGCCTGTGGTAGCCATGATTGTTCATGAGTCTGTCTGATCTGGTGTCCGCGGCCCGTCAAGCTCTGTTGTGGTCTTGGCCCGGCTCGCAAACTTGGAAATGTGGCACTCTGCTCAATCGGTTGCTTGTAGTGAATGCTCTTGCCAATTTGAAAGAGAGCGGGGCCGCTGACTCCACTACGTAGGTCTCCTGGTGCTGGTGACTGCACGTGTGCTCTTTTGGCTGGTCGATCTGTCTCAGGTGAATGGCATTCTAGCTTGGGAGGGATCTCAACTCTGACATATGCTGCATGCTTTAGTGTCTTCGGAGCTAGATCATCCTCTTGCCAGAGCTGGTTGTTGAGATGTAACGTGCACTTGAAATCGCTCTGCTCGCATTGCTCATGGATGCCCAATTCTTGCAGAAGACCAGTTCGTCCGAGGTAACGTGGTAGGCGAAGGACTTCTCGTCTTTGAAGAGGTCTATCGCCTTTTGGTGCCAGGTACGTGATGTCAACTAACACAAGCCGGTCTGGGGATCCTCCAGGGATGTCACCAACCTTTTGCAGAAGAATCGCTTCTTCCGCAGGGTGTTGGTCAATCAAAGGAACTTCAAAGTAGTGATAGCCAACAGCTTCATCGCGGCGCATCCCAAGTGAACGCAGGACTTCAAAAAGGATGGTGTTGTACGAGTCCCAATGCACAAAACAGTGATGGGTGTGGCTTTCAAGACCAAAGACTTGCACTCCTTGAAGCTGGTCAATGGGCAGGACCATTTCATCACTAGTGGGACTCTCTTCTTCACTTGCCTCAAGCTGGTGGGCTACCGGTTCTGTCAGAGAAACTCCTTGTTCTTGTCGATCATGTTGTGCAGAGCTACTGGCGCTGGCTTGATTCTCGTTGACAATATAACGACAAATGAATGGCCATTGGGCATCCAGTGCGTCTGCACCGCCGTAAGTGGAATGGGCGTCCAATCATGATATACTCGAACATCATGTGCATCTAGAAAATGTTCAGCCTCAGCTCCTTGTACAATTTCAAGGCCGCTAAGATGTCTCGGGTACGAGATTGCCCACGTGAACGAATCATCTGAAACTTGGCTAGGATGGTAGACAGTTGTAATCCCACCACATCGGTCAAATCCTCCCTGTACAAGAATCAGATCGGCATGTGGAATCACAGGGCGATCAGTTTGTGCACGAACCTCTGGGTATACAACTGCAATGTTGAGGACCTCATCATTGTAGAGTTGGTCACGCCACGCTTGAAGTACATCTCCATGCCAAGTGGTTCCATCGCCCTCCAATTCAACAATGCGTGGTCTCTTCCATTGTCTGACATGTTGGTGGTGGATGTACCACGTCCTCAATTGATAGTACTCACCATCCAAAATTCTCACGTGTCGTTCTCTCCAAAGATGTTGTAAGTGATGAATGTAATTGGGAACGTCATCAGGTAATCTACGATCCAGAAAATGGTGTGGTGTCTGCTCTTCTTGTTCACCAGTTCTGTGATCTCGAGAACCTGAACTGCCTGTGTCTCCAATAGTCATTGCTCTTGGGAGGCTCCAGGAAGGAGGTCGATGTAGTCCTTGATAGTCATAGGCCTTGAAAGTGTGGAACTCTTTCTTGACCTCCGCTGCCTCAAAGACTTGTACTTGGTCCTGAAATCGGACGATTCTGTCAGCAAAGTGCCGTCTTTTGGGTAATGAGAAGCACTCTATTTTGAGCTTGCAGGATGTCCCAACCTCCATAGCAAGTTCAGATGCCTTCTCAATGGCCTGCCAGGGGGCAATGAAGTTCGGCTCTGTCAAGATCGAGTGGCACCAATGCATGGTGTTTGCCCGAGCATAACAGAGGATACATCCGGCCATTGGCGAGTGTACGGTATCGTCACGCATCGCCGGCCTTCCCAAAAGGCTCCAAGCTGGGATAGGACCTCTGTCCAGCTCCTCCTTCTTCTTCGGCTTTGCGAGGTCGTTTTGCCTTGGGCTCCAGTTTCTCTGCAGATTCTGAAAGCACCTCGAGGCTCGACACAACCTGATGGAGTCCTTCTTGTATTTTTTGAGCGTTCTCGTCTCTGCCGAGTTCGCTCTCCTCCTTGGCATCCATCTCTTCTGTCTCCTCTTCCGAGGACACCGTCTAGGTCTCGTCCTTGTCCCCAGCATCCATGCGTCTCTTGGCAATGTCCAGGTGCTTCTGAGCCCTCTTGAGATTCAAATGAGCTTCCTGTGCCTGCTGCTGGAATGCCGTTTCGGCAGCCTGGAATTGGGCCGTATATTCTTTCCATTTTACGACTGACTGCTGCAAAAACACTCGCCATTGTGCCCAGAGCTGGAGTCTGGCATTCTCCACTTCGAGCTGTGCTTCCTTTGCTTTGTCCAAAGCTGTCACAGCTGTATGAAGGTTGCGCGAGCATTCTTTGTTGTCCTTCTTCATCTCTGCGTGAACAAGATTTTGAAACTCTGCGGAAAGGTGCTCCTCCTTCTTGGCAGCTTTGACAATCTTGTTCAGCTTCTGTTGCACCTTCCGGCCAAACGCTTGATCTTCGGTAGGCGCAATGTTGGGCATCACCGTCATGGGCGGCTGACCAGCAAAGGTTGTCTCTGGCGAGGGTTGCATTGCTGGCATGTGTTGCATCATGGGCATATTCTGCTGCATCCATGGTGGTCCAACAGGAGGCGCATGTCCAAGTAGCATAGGCGGTGGCGGTGGCGGAAGAGGAGCCAACTGCTGTTGTGAAGGGAAGTAACCTTTCCCGCTTCCCTTGACATCGGCATTCATAGGGGATTGTGGCCACATCGGAACCTGCGGCCATGAAGGAGCACTCATACTTGATTGATGGTCTCCTTGATTCCAATTTTGCTGTTTCTTTTTGGATTTCGGCCTCGTTCTTTGTCTCGGACTCTTCGGTCTCGAGCTCGATGAGGCTCCTTGCCAGGATCCTGTCCATTGCTCCTGGGCACCCGCTCCTCTTTGGTTTGCTGTCTGTATGGCACAAGTATCCCAACTTTGGCCACACAAATCGCAATACCATGCATGCGGCGATCTCATCTTGCGGCACGTGCCGCAAAGCCATCCTGCATGAGTTGATGACGCCATCTCTCCTTTGATCAGGCCCAAGAAGGTGGTGTCTTTGGAATGATGCGACCGCAAGGTCCTCAAAATTCGAAGCAACTGCTTCTGGCCGAGCCGGGCAATACCTTTGCGATGGAGATGCCAGGCACGTCTTGCTGCAGCACGTTTGCGCCGCAAAGCTCGCCGCAAGGTCGCAAGTGCCGGTGCCGTTGTCCAGAAAGAAGCCGTAGACGAACGACAGGAAGAAGATCCCAAACCAGGTCATACACAAGGGACCCCTCAAAGGCAAAATTGCAAAGCCCGAGTGTCAGGTGGTAGACAAGGTTGTGGATCACCACCAGCTCCCCGGGTGGTTTATAGAGGCCGGGACCTCGAGGTGAATATCACCAATTCGGGTGACAGAGCACAAAGCGAAAACACCAAGCTCGCCAGGGCTTAAACCAGTTCAGCGAGATGAGCAAAACGCCCGAGGTCAACCAATGGCCCGTGGGGTGGAAAACACAAAACCCCACTAAGGTAGAGGCGAGGGGTGAACGTGGGCCACTGCAGCCAAAACCTTGGAAGAAATATGTATATATATATATTGTCAATTTAGTTGAGAAAATAATTACTGTTCTATATTTTTCGTGGGATTTTGGTGTTTGTCCAATGTTGGTTGCTAAACAGCACACTAGTTGTTTTCTTTTGTGTGTGTAAGTGAAAGAATATGAAAACATGTTTTTTTGATGGTCAATCAATTTTTGATGGTCAACCCCAGGTTAAACCCCAATCAATTTTAATGATTGTGAAACCCAATTCTGTTAAGCCACAACTCTTGATGGATCACCACTTTTTTCATGGCAACATCTCAACTTTGGTGCTGGATTTCCCACCACTTAAATCTTGATGGAACAAAATAGCCGTGGCCCATGGGAAGGAGCTGAGTTGTGTTTGTTGGTTTACAATTTATAACCCACTCTCTATATAGCTAGTTCGATACATCTACCATATTTCAAATCGGATGTTTGCACAATTCTGTTTGCCAACTTACCAGTTTGTAAATCCCATAAAATCTGATGAAATCCTATAATTTCCCATTAAATCCTAAAATTTCCCATTAAATCCCATTGAAATTCCATTTGAATCCCATTAAATCCTATGTGAAATCCCATGAGAAATCCCCATTTCTCTCCCCATGTCTGTTCACCCCGATTTTCAGGACACTCCCAGCATCATTGCGGAGGGCGCTCGCGTCTTTACCGCTTGCTGTGACGCCTCGGAAGAGTCGAACATCGGCGGTGCGACGTACGTCGTAGCCATGGACGCCAGCAATGGGCAGAAGCTGCTTGGCCGCGATTTCAACCGATCCCGGCGAGCAAATTTGGGCGAAAATTTGGGCGCTGTTTTGCCGGTTGACCAATCAAAGAGCGCTGGATTTCAGCAGGAGATTTTGGGGTTGGCTTCTGAAAGAAGCATCGAAAATACGTGGATTTAACCATCAAGAAAGTTCCTTGAAACTTTAGAAATCCATTTCAAATGGTGATGTCACATGATTTAACCGTGAACAAGTTGGATTCATCAAAAGTTAGGGCTTGACACGCAGCTAAAAAAGTGAGGCTGTGGACAATGCGCCCTGAGCACCTTGACTGCAGGGTGAAGAGTGACCTCACGAACCTCACCGATGGTTTAGAAATGGGGCTTTCCATGGGGCTACCCCAGCTGGTTGGCTTATTTCATATAGAAAATCAATTTGAAAAACATCGATGTTTTCAAATGTTTTGTACCCTCCGGTAAACTAACATAGCTATTGAACATGGCCATTTATAGTTGATTTTCCTATTAAAAATGGTGATTTTCCATAGCTATGTTAAATTACCGGAGGGTACCCCCCTATTTTAGGAAACCTCCAAATGTTTGGAATATGGATCGTCATCCCAGAACTTGCTTCGGCACGCTGGGGGATCATTTTTTAAGTCAATCTGGGGAGCACAAATCGTCGTGAAACAAACACCTCTATTTGTGGAGTTGAACTCCAAAAATGGGATCTTGAAAACTGGTTGTTTATCATTCTTCCCCAGAAATGTGGACATTTTGGGGTGGACAAGTTTTTGCTGGACTGACACATGAATATTCCGAATACGACGTAGCCAATGTCTTTGGAGCCGGACTTGAGTCCGGGTGTTCACCATGATCCTCCATGACTGGCCCCCCAATGAATAGATCCAAGACTGAAGCATGGGGGAGTATTCATTACTCTTTCCCATGACTGATCCATGGTGCTGCTATATATGGTGCCCCATGGATCCCATCAATATACCCCCTTTATGTTAGCATATATACCAGCACCATGGATCCTATGGGTTTGTATGTGACATACCTACTTGGTGGCTCATCCCACTTAGTAAGTGGGTTATAACCCCAGTTATAAATGGGATAAGTAGGGTTAATCCACTTATAACTGGGGTTATAACCCACTTACTAAGTGGGATGAGCCACCAAGTAATGTGTTACTTTTTTTTGTGTCCCTGTTTTTGGTATCCCCCAGTTTTTGGTATCGTCAAGTCCCAATATTCGTTGGTGAATTCGTTTCTTGATCATTGAGTTACCCTCTGGTTATGGCTGACATAGCCATGGTATAGATGGCCCATAGAAATAGATGGTTTACCTATAAAAAATGGTGATTTTCCATGGCGAACTGTTAGTCATAACCAGATGGTAGTTGTCCATAGCTTTCTTGATCCTGCGATTGGATTTTCACCTAATTTTTCATTAGAAAAAAGACCATCACTCATACCAGAACCATTGTGTAATTGCCATCAATTCCCATCAATTCCCCAATTGCCAGAAAATATGACAGTTTTTTGCTGAATGATGAGACTTTTCAGAAAATACTAGCCGAATGATCCAAACTCTCCTATGCATATGCCAACACCATATGGATTTCAATCATTTACTAAAGTTTTTTTTGAGGAATCAATATCCCTCCAATTCTCAGGGAATACATGGAAAGTAGCAGCCAAATGAGAAAACACGCCGCTACGTATGTCAAATCACAAGCACCCGATATTTTTTGATATTTTTCAACTTTCTAGGAAATACCAGCCAAAGCAGCAAAACATGCTTTTAGATATCAACTCCGTATATTTCTGCTTCATTCAATCCTCTGTGTTGAGTACATTGGGATCCCATTATACACATACACATGCTTTGCAATCCAACAATAAACCATGCCCATATCGATCGGACGTTTATGCCACCGGGTTCGCTCTTATCTGCAGTGTTTTTTTGAATCTCAGTAATGTATAGATCTACGTTTCTCAGATTCATTTATTTATTGGAATCCCCATTAATCATATATATATATGTATACACAATGTATATCAATGTATATCAATGTATGCCGTCCTTTTTGTATTGCACGTATGTATTGTACATCTACGTTTCCCACTATGTATGTCATACGTATATGTATGTCTGTACGTATGTCTGTAATGCATTGCATTGTATTGTCAATTGTATTGTAATGTTTGGCAATGCACATGTATGCGCATGTATATGCATATGATATAATCAATGTATATGCGCACGTACATGTAAAACAAGGTCCTGTCTAGAAATTAACAAACACAAAATATGGAAATGTTGATTTCCATAATTTTCCACGAATTTCCATAAATTTCCACAATTGTCCCATAAATTTACTCTACTTTCAGGAACAAGGTCTACAATTTTTTGGCCTCCGTGGTCGACGACTCGCTTCTCTTTGCAGACCTCGCTGGCGGTGTGTACCGCCTCGCGACCAGCGACGGAAAGGTCATCTGGAGCCATTCCGCGCCCGAGCACGCCTCCCTTGGGACGGGAGGTGCACCAAATCGGGTGGGACAACGGGTTTTTTTCGTGGTTTTTCTGATGGTTAATGATGAATAGTTTAAGGGTGGTAATCATGAACCATCAGAATAGTTAACCATCATTAACCTGAGTCATGGTTGTTTAATGGGATGGTTTAATTAATGTCAACCCCGGGTGAGACTAAACCATGGTTTATTAACTAGGGGGATACTCCTCCGATAGTCATTTCCCTCCCAATTAAACAGCCGTTTGGGGTTTATTAATCCAGGGTTGACATTAATGATTAATGATGATTAAGAATAGTTAATTAAGAGTGGTTAAGAATAGTTTTCCAGAGGCGCAAAGGGGAGTTTTGTGGAGAAAATGGGTATATCAGGGGACATGGAGAAGAGTCAAGGAATAAATTGGAGACTGGAAAAACCCACAAAATGCAGATTTTAAGCTGCCCAAATGTGACAGCATTTTTAAGGGAAATGCGAGCTGCCCAAACGGCGGTCCAGACACCGCCATTTCAGGAGGACCTGCTGTAAAAATGGCTAGTCATCACGAACTCTCAGTGGGGGTAAACAAATGGGATACCCTCTGGTAAACATACAAAAAACTATGTTTTTTTTTTCAAATCACCATTTTTAATGGGTAAATCCACTATAAATATGGCAATTTTCAATAGCTATGTTAGTTTACCAGAGGGTAGGTTGACTTTTTTGATATCATATGGTTGTTGTACTATGTTGTAATTACTGGGTGGACCTTAGGTATGTTGGCTGATTAATTTTTAGCCAGAAATGAGGGAAACTTCTTTGTACTCATAAAACAACACAGGCTATCCAAAATTAGCAGGGTCTATCTGAGTCTATCTTATTTACTTCAATATAGGATATTACAGGACACTTCTCTAGTTGCAATCTTAGCTGATACATGATACATGTGTTTATCACCATGTGCTGTGTTTGCCAAGATGTAAGGCCTCACAGTTTGGTTTTATCTAAGCAACATGAAGCAACAATCACTGCTCCAACATGATACCTGTCAGGAATGTATCATATTCAGAATTTTAGCAGTGTATATCATGTAATTTTCTGCCTTCTTTCCCTTAAGTATATTTAAGTATTGTAATCACATTCAAGCATCCTTTCAGGTACCATATCTATCCTTTCCAGGGACAAATCCAATGGCCACAGCAGGTCTGACCACAGCTCCCAATGGCATCGCTTATGTCACCACCAACACGAAAGATCCCAGCATCGGAGCCTCTCGCGGTTTCTAAGCTAAGCAACAAGATGGACATTTTCCAGGAATCCATGGAATATCATGACGTGGAGACTATTGATGAATTTCCAAGTGTAACATACCCTCTGGTAAACATACAAAAAACTATGGCAAATCACCATTGTTCATGGGAAAATCAACGAACTAAATGGCCATTTTCAATAGCTATGTTAAATTACCAGAGGGTAGTGTAACTATAGTCACTATAGAATCCGTGAATGATGTTTTTGCCTGAATTGCAGTGAGATGATTTGGTAACAAAGCCAAGAACGGTGAAAAAAGACGTTGCTTGGGGTACCTGGTTATAGTTACGTTGGATTCGGAGGTAGAGGGAATCTTGTGGAAAACAAAAGCAAAGTAAAACGACACATGGCTGCAGGAGTAATGTTGTCAATTCTGATGATTTTCGATGCAACATCCAGTTTTTGCACTGTCCTGATGCTGATGGCCATTGGTTAATTATTGGCTCTTCTCCTGAGTCCAAAGATGCTGACTGAGCCATCATCAAACATGGATGTTGAAGTACAAAAAAGGTTACCCGGCCTGGTAAACGTTAACCAAAAAACTATGGAACATCACCATGCTATTAATGGGAAAATCAACTATTTAAATGGCCATGTTCAATAACTTTTTGTTAGTTTACCGGAGGGTAGAAATTGTGTGGCTCCACAAGATCCGCATTTTGGGGCGAAGAAACTCTGCACGTGCTGACCATGACATACCATGAGCATCACAAAAAAACCCAGGTGTCCTTTCAGCCTATTTCATCACAGATGGGAAGCTTCTCTGGCAAAAATCACTTCCTTTGAATCTTGGCCGAGCGCCGAGCAAGGAGGCAATTTGGTGCCTGAAAAACTGACCAGTTTCAGAGGTTTGGTTTCTGATTCCTGGGCCAAACAAATGCCCAAAATGCTTTCTGATAGTATTTTTTCAGCAACATTCAGAGCAGTTTCCAAGTCAGTCTGGAGAGTCATGAGTGATGCTGACTAGGTCAATCTTACATGGATGCTTTAATCCTTTAGTCTTTTGGTATCAATAGGAATATCTACGTTCACCAGCAAAGAATTTGTCATTTTTTGCAGGGTATCTAAGATTGTCAATGCTGAGGAGTGCCAATAGCGGAGCAGCAATTGGCCAGAAGTCACCCAACACGTATTTCGCCACCTGGCGCGCTTGCGGATGGTATGTCCCAAGGGTAGCCCAAGCCGAAAAAGACGTCATTTCCAGGGTCAGGAACAAAACTTAAGTGAGTCGGCCAACCCCAAAACTTGTTGAATGGTTGACAGTGGTTATACTTACCCTCTGGTAAACATACCAAAAACTATGGAAAATCACCATTTTTAATGGGTAAATCCACTATTTCAATGGCCATTTTCAATAGCAAACTGTTAGTTTACCAGAGGGTATACTTAACTATCGACGATGATACTTTAAGATGTCTGAATCCTCTGAACCGCTACCGGTTCGCAACAAGTGGTTCACCAATGAGCTGTCTGGCGGTATCCGGGAAGGGATTACCCTCTGGTAATTTAACATAGCTATTTAAACTTGCCATTTATAGTGAGTTTTCCCATTAAAAATGGTGATTTTCCATAGTTATGTTAGTTTACCAGAGGGTAAACCGTTCTTTAACTGGTGAAAACATGTGAAAACCAATGGATACTGACACCTATTTTCAGATTTACTTGCCAACAAGGGTGGTGAATATCACTGCTTCAAGAATCCGCTATGTAGATGGCAAGCGTATGATACGATGGATGTCAAGAATCGATTTTGATGGTGGAAAAATACTGATCACATTTTTTGGATTTTCAGATCTATGAACCTGTTACCCTCTGGCTATGACTAACATAGCCATGGGAAATAGCCCATTTATAGAGGTTTACCTAGTAACAATTGTGATTTTCCATGGCTTGGTTCAATAACCAGATGGTACATATCATATCATACTAATTAAGTATAATAATTATAGCGACTTTAGAGTGACTTTATAGTGAATAGACATCTAACTAATAGTAATAACATAGTGTATAGATATATAGATAAAAATATGATAAATTATAATGACTATATAGTGAGTATATGACTATAATAGTCACTTTAACTATCATGATATAGTCACTATCATATCAGACGATGATTGTTGCAATATGATAGTGACTATATTAACTACTGATGACTTTAACTGATAGTGACTCTATAGTGACTTTATAGTGAATAGACATCTAACTAATAATAGTAACTAATAGTAATACTTAGTATATAGATATACTAATAGTGACTAATAGACATAATTATAACTAGTAGTGACTTTAAAGTGACTGAAAAATCATCATATCATAGTGATTCATAGTGTATAGATCTACTACCTGTAGACTCTCAGGTTCCTCCTTTTCTGGAAGACCACCTTGGCTGCGCCGTACCGCAGCACCGCAGCCCGTGCCCTTCAGGTGACCGTGGCCCTCGGCCCGAATCCAGCGTTGCCGCTGCCCTTTCCACCCAAGGCGTTCCTGGCTCCTCGGCCCAGGTTTCTGGTCTACTCTCAATATGTTAATGTTCATGTTGTGCTTGGTGGCTCATCCCACGAATCGTAAGTGGGTTATAACCCCAGTTATAAATGGGATTTTGTAGGGTTAATCCACTTATAACTGGGGTTATAAGCCACTTACTAAGTGGGATGAGCCACCAAGTATCTATTTACATACAAACATACACATAGATTCATGATCATTCATGTATACATATGCCTCTATACATATGCACATAGATATGCATATGCATATGCAGATGCATGTGCATATAATTGCATGCATATAATTGCATGCATATAATTGCATGCATATAATTGCATATACGTATACACATATACACTTGTATATGCATATGCATTTACATGTACATTGTGCGATCCATTTTGGGTTGCTTGGGGGAATACCAATGTCTGATCCCTTGGGTCGTCAATTGTGCGCACTGAGCGAATCCGCTAAGTCCAGTGCTTGTATAGGTGTTTGCAGTCAATACTTCAGTTGATTTACTGGTTGTAAACACCTATATATATATACATGGTTATGTTATATATACAGATACATGATAGATAGTTACAGACATAATAGACAAACTGTGAGTTTGTAACGGCTTGTTTTACCCAAGCGGTTTCGTGCCAGCACAGACACAGAGCGAGCGTTTTTTGATGTTCCTCGACTGACCGTAAGTGACCGAGATGTCCATAGCTAAGTTGGTGACATTGGGTGACCATAACTCCAATAACCTATATAGTTTATCATAAACACCATAGTTTAGTAAACCAATGTATAACTGGGGCCCACATTGCAACGGCGAATCAACTGAAGCTTCGGGACATCGAAGCTCAGGACATCGAACCTCTGTCACCCAGCACCAAAGACGGGCTGAAACCGGGAAAAGCCATGACATTTGATGCTGGCTCTGGTCTCTTGGAGATGTTTTTGAACCAACGATCCTGGTGAAAGAAGAATGACTGGGGCAATGATCTGCGAACAATTTGAGAAAAAATTGATTAAAATGCTGGTTTCACATGTTTAGATATGGGTATGTCTGAAAATGGGGTATACCCCCAATGAAA